GAGAGAGAGAGAGAGAGAGAGAGAGAGAGAGAATATTCTATAAAGAATATTCTGTGTCACAAATGAATAGTTAATGTTATAAAATAACATGAAAGTGAAATACATTCAATTCAAGTGACATTTACTTGAAATTATTTGATAAAATACAAAAATAAGTCCTTTTGAATGATAGTCATCGGCCCGTAATCTCAATCGTTATGTTAATCTTAAAGTAATCATTTATAATGTAATCTCTTTACTAATGTAATGCTATCATAAAATTAATCATGTTTGGTATGGTTTGTAATCTTGTTTACTCAATTTTGAGTGCTAGATCAATTTGGTGTCCCTCGAGAGTAGTAATGTAATCGGATTACAATTAATTTAATATAATTCTATTTTTATAATATTGTTAACAAGTCTTGATAAAAGTTTTAGAAATAATATAAACGTATAGAATTTAGTTGAGTGTAATTAAAAATTTTAATATTTGGGTAACATTTGTATTATAAAATAAGAAAATTAAAAGTATATTATAAACTAAGCAATTGATATTGTTTAAAATTTAATATAAAATTTTATTTAATACAGTATAAAATAATTACAAAATTAGTTTTTATAACATGAAAAATTACAATATGGCTATTTTTACAATGTTTAATAGATTTTTAATAGATATAAATGTTACCATAGTTTAAATGAATTGTAATTATATAATAAATTTAATTAAATATTTAAAAGAATACAAACAATTATAATAATTAAATAAAACTATAGTTAACTCAATGCAAACGATAATACAATTAATAAATTGAATGAAAAAATTATATTTCAATTACAAATAAACTGAAAATAAAATAAAAATCAAATTCAAAGCAAAATAAATGCAGAAAAACGACAGAAAAGCAAAAGAAATGAAAAAAGTATAAAAAATACAAAAATTAAATTAAAATTAGAGACAATTTAAAGTACTATTGAGTGATAGACTACTGGGGTTTGCATTGAATGGAGTGCTTAACCAAAGTCTTGGCGTATTTCATGTCTTTGAGGCACTTCTGGCACCGGAAGCCATTGGGTTCTGTGCGGTGATCGGCGTTCAAGTGTGCAATCAATTGCTTCAACGTATCGCATGTGACCAAACATACGGGACAATCGGTGTGTTGGTCGCAGTCCACCGGCGACTCCACCGGTCGGCCCAAAGGTTTACCACTCGAGCGACTCTTGGGCTTCGGTTTGGGCGTCGATTCCAGACACACATCGACACCATTGACGGCTCCGGCGGTCGACTCGGTCTTAGCGACGGCCGCAGCGATCGATTCGGTCTCAGCAACGGTTCCGGCGGTCAATTGGATGTCAGCGACGGCCGCAATATCGTCGACAACAGGAGCGGTGATCATAGATGGCAGCGTGAAGTCCACCTGAGAAGTGGCCATCACTTCTGCCAACTTTGAGAGAACCAATTCGTTGATGAAATCCTCTTTCGACGGTTCCGACGGCCAGTTGTCCGCCGCGGAGTCCACCGGAAGACTGGTCTCGACTGGAGGGCCGTTAGCGGACGGCGCGTCCGTTTGTATGAGCGGCCGCTCAACGGGTGAGCCGTTGGTGTTGTTGTTGTCCACGTATTTGGCGCTCTTCGCGCCCGTAGTCTTCGGCGACGACTGTTTGCGACGTCTGTTGGTCTTCGGCGGCGCCGTTAGTAGCGGTGGTGACTGTCCTCCGGAGCCGTTGGTCACAATCGACTCAATCGTATTCATAACAGTGTCTTCGGGCGAAGGATTGGGCGCCGAGTTTGCGGTCAAATCGATCGGTATTTCCACTAAAAAGACAAAAATAGCAAAACAAATGATTTCAAAACCAAAACAAGACATCAAAATACTTGTCAACTGATCCGCGATCACATCAATGGACTGTTTGGCAGACAAACGCTTCTTATCGCTGGAGAGCAGGCATTTGTGGCGCGGCGTCGGCGCCGATGTCTTCACGCCTTCATCGGCGGCCATCACAGCGATGGACGGCATCAACAGATCCGCACTCTTGGCCGCCGCCACCGCCGGTGTGCGCGGCTTCACGTCTTGAGACTTGAGTTTGATATCCAAACGATTGGCCAATCGCTGCAACCGTTGCCCACTCTGGGCGTCGACCACTTGGCGGCCGAAGTACACCACATCCAGAATGGCTCGCATGTCGTCGACACCGATATCGTTGACCATCACTACGAGTGGCGACGAGTCGGCCGCGGGAGTAGTTTTGAGGGCGCAGCCGATGGCCGCTCGCAGTTGCGGCCAAACGGCCGACAAAACCAGCCGATGGGCGACGAGTGAGCCGTCGGTGCAGACGATACGCGTGTCCGTCAACTCCTGGCGCCGATAGAGTCCACACAAATAGGTGGTGACCGCCGAAGAGTCACTTAAACTGATCCGCGCAGACATGTGTGTCGATCACGTGGTCTGACAACTGGTTTGAGGTTTTTGTTGACGTTTTTCCGGTGACTAAGAGTTGACACAAATGTAGTGATGACTGGAAGTGACCGACGATTCGATTCAATGGCAAAACTGTTTGTATGGAAAAAACGTTCGATTTTTTTTCGCTGTGAGAAAAAAGCGCGCGATTTATGCAATACTACTGTAGTGTAGATGTAAGGTACGTTCGACTCAAGTTATTAGTAACACGTTTTTCATTCATTAATCCATGTATGCATTGATGCGTTTAACGCGCTGTAAGTTTTATCGTAAGTTTTTGTATTAATTATGGTTTCAATTAACTCTCGATATTGTGAACCAATAATTGCTGTAAAAAATTAGATACAAATTAAATCGCAAACCAAACGCACATTATATGGAGAGTAGAGTGTGTTTTGTTTTGCGATTCGCCAACCAATCACGTGAGACATAACAGCTGTGATCACGTGATCACAAGTGCCCAGCATTTGAAGCACTGACTGTGGGATCAGTTGACGAGTGATCTGTCATTTGAAACCCATTTCCATAGCAAACGAATCGATAGTATCGATGAATCGGTGGCCAAAACCGATGGACAATTGGTTGGAGACAATTGAGTCGGTTGTGGCCGCGGGTCGACCCAAACGGAGGCCACGACAGCCGCGACCACCACTACTGCCACCCATTGTCACCAAACGGGTCCGCAAACCACGTCCACCGCCGACGCCGAAGATGTCCACCACTGCATCCGCCGCTGCCGTCAAAGCACCGATTGGTGGCCACAAGTCGGGCGCCGAAGCGGACACTGAATTCGTGGACTTACAACAGCTGTTCCGCTCCATCGAAACGGTCGACATCTGTGTGACCATCGATGACGACAACAACAACACAGACAACCAATTGGTGCCAATCGGGGCCAACGCGCGGCCAGCGATGGACACCGAAGCCATCGACGGTTACGACACAACCATTGAGATCAGTACCGAATACAAGACGCCTGAGACGAGCGGTGGTCAGCGATTGGCCGCCATTCACGCCGTGCGGATCGTAAGGTGTGGTGAGGGGTCGCCCAGTGTTGGTCGCCGACGAGTGATCGAGTGTCGGGTGATGTGTGCGGACACCGGGTGTCCCGTCTGTTGGCTGGCGTTCGCTGTAATGAATCCGTTGAGGAGTCGAGCGCTCACTCCCGACACTGAGACCATCGATGGCCGCAAATATCGGCTCCGAAGCGACGCGTCGGCCGATTATACGAAACGAGCGATCCGTCTGTTTGTGGACTCTATTGAACGCAAACGACGACTCATCTGAAGACACGATTCACGCCATCAATTATTTTCTATTTGTTTGCCATTTATTTCGATTGTAATTTGTTTTAACCATTGATTTGTTTAATTAATAATTTAAATAAAAGCCATAAATAATTGTTGGATTGAATACTACTTGATGAATAAAATGTGCATAATTTAAACAACAGGTGGTTTACTAGTGTTGGAAAATTAACCCTATGGTTAACTCTAGAGTCAAAGGTCAACATTTTTTCATAAGGTCAAGTCAAAAATAAAAATGTTGAAATACGGGACATTTCCAAATCTACTTTTATTAAAATTTAAGTTATATTTATGAGTTATATTTAAGTTATATTTGCGGTAATATTTATTTATTAAAATATCATTTACTAAACGAAAACAATTAATCAAAATATAATTTCAAAATAAAATGTCATTTAATATATTTCGTCAAAATTATGCGTTAATTAACTATAAAATTATATCAAATTAAAAATGAGATTTTAATCATTGATTGTTTTGTTTTAATAGCAAATATTGTGGTCACGAATACCATCTAATGTCTTCACCTTTGACAGTGTCTTCGTGTGGACATCACTGAACGGATCTATCGATCAATTGACTCAAATAGAGCTCCACTTTAGGGTAGATTTCATTGGATTTTCTGCCGACAAAGTTCTCTAAAATCCCTTTATCTCTGAAAAAAATTAAATAAAATTTTATAAAACAGTTAAAAATTAACAATTAATTAAATAAAAACTATTATAAATTATAACAACCAATCGCTACACTATAGCCGCACAAAGCATTCATACATTTACACCACTTTTATCCCCAAAACACAACACTAAACATACGTTTCCTTTGAGGAAAAATACAATCAAAAAACACACAAAACAAACACATTATAAAAACTACATAACAATTAAAACATTAATTAAACCCAAAAAAGTACCCAAAAAGTACCTAAAATAGTCTATAATAACGTCGGACTGCCTTTTGTACTCCAGGAGCCGTTGCATAACCACATGCTCTTTGTCGTCCTCCCTCTGGACCAGGGGTTCGCCCGTCTGGTCGTCAACTCCGGCCACTTTCGGCGGATTGTAGAGCGTGTGATACGTACGGCCGGACGCCGAGTGAATCCAACGGTGTTTTATGCGTTCAATGATCTCGTCGTCGGGCACCTGAAGGTTAATCACACTGTTGGGCCTCAGCGAGTGGTGCGACCAGAGCTCGCGGGCCTGAGCTATGGTGCGCGGGTAGCCGTCCATCAGGAATGACTTGTCGTTGTAGTGATGGACCAATTCGTTGATCACCAGTTTGTTGACCACCAGATCGGGCACCAGTTTGCCGGCAGCGATATAGCCCTCGGCCTCGCGGCCCACTTCGCTCTGGCGGCTGATGTGGTCGCGCAAGAGGTCACCGATGGACAGATACGGGAGTCGAAAGTCCCGTATAATACGGGTACTGATTGTGCCCTTTCCCGAACCCGGGGCACCGATTATAATGCTTCGAAACACTTTTAACATGTTGTGGCGGTCTGTCCGTCGCCTCCCTGTCCACCGATTGTCACGAGTTTTGTCACTGAATTTAAATATAAGTTTTTTATTAAACAATTTTGTGAACATATTGTTTGACCAAAACATTGCTATTTAATAATAAATAGATATAATTATTGTTTTGTTTTAATTACAAATATGTTATGTTTTGTAACTATTAAGTTTACATTATTTTTCAAAACAACTAATTTAAAAATTAGTATTTTCGTAAATACTATTGAAAATAAGTGCCCTTAAAATTGGAGTACATTTAAGTGCTTATGACTTATAAAGTGATAGACTTTGATCTCATCAAAATATAATCTATAATTTAGTCAACCATGGTACAATTTTTAGTTAAGTACAGCTCATTACCGTATTATCGCATTTTAAGTTATTTAAATTATATATAAATTAAAATTATACCATTTATTCGTACCGGCAATAAGTTTCAACCTCTCTCTCTCTCTCTCTCTCTCTCTCTCTCTAGTGTTGAGTCAATCACAACATACAATATACTGTTAACGGTATTAATTAAATTAAAATTAACGCTAATCTTACGAATGATATAAAGCATAGAAAACAACATTAATTAAAGTGAAAAAAGCAATAAAAGCCTCATTTATGCGAACATTAGCCCCGAAAATGATTGCAATCTTTTTTTGCTCTAAAAATAGTGACATTTATTGCATCAGAAAATTGGCAGAAAATTTACACTACATTTGAGCGCAAAGTTTGGGCCGAAAAAATGTGCGCTATTTTGTGCTAAACACAAAAAAACTTGCATTTTTGGCCAAAAATACTCTGTTTTTCAATGAAAATGCATTTTTCATTAAAAATACAAATAAAACAAACACTTAATTGCAGTTAAAGTCCTAATAGTATTGGGAATACGAGTGACTGATAACGAGTAGAGAGTTTGACAGTAAATCATAACAAATATTTTTATCATGATTTTAATGCGAACAACAACAAGTTTAATTCACCAAGTGTGTTTTGGAAATGTTTATATTAATTTACTTACGCACAATATTAATAGCTGTTTACCACGACCAGGGTTATTCAATGGGAAAGTACTTGTATATAATTGAATAATTCACATCAACGAATTGGACCTTGATTTTAATTATGCACTTTATATTCATCGGGCTCCGATTTAAATACGAGATTATTATTATAGCTGGCAATGAGTATTACACAAAACACAACCAGATCATTTACATAAAATTTTAATCACATTTAACCAAGCTGAGATTTTCGAAATAGAACAAACCAATCGAGGTAAATAAATATTTACTTAACAATCACAAAGTTTTTTACATTCAGTATTTTTTCACTACATTTATATAGTAACACTTTAATCGATTAAAAGCACACAAAAACACATTAAAATGACTGCAAAAAAACTTTAAATATTATTTTTCGACAAACATTTCGTGTCATTAAAAGAGAGTATTAAATGCAATGAAAATCGAGACACAAATCTGTTAGCGGCTAAGGCATCACTGCTGGAACCGTTGGGATCCGATTACACATATAACCAACGCTTCCCTCGGTTTCACCCAAAAACTGTTTCCATTATTTATAGCTTTAGAAACATTTAAACATTCAATGATTTAATCGTTTTTTTTATTACCATTTAATCCATAGCTTTAGAGAAACACTTAATTTTGTTGACATTTATGTCTTTTTGTGTTTATTTTGTCATTTTTTTAATTAATTTTCTTGTTTTAAACGACATTTAGCTTAAGTCAACCAAACAGAGCCCGGACTGAGAGCCCAAGAAAGTGAGCGAATATAACGAAAGTTATGAGGGATTTGAGAGACAGAGTAGTGGCGATAGCTGTGGACGACAGTCACGGCTCTCTTTGGATGACTTTTCGCTAAACATTTAACCATTATTTTGTATTTTATAATAATTTGCGAATATTTTTCATTAAAAAAAGTTAATTTCAAATCAAAATCCAGTGTTTTATTGAATGTTAGCGAAGAGTGAGTGAAAGCTCTACCATCTGCAGCTATACACACCCCAACATCACCCCTATCTGATCCCTACACCCCCACCCGTTAACAACTTGGTGTTTGGTTGCGGGGTATCTTGTGAGAGGCCGGGAACACCCGTATCCGTCCACACGATCCCTATTCTCGTCACAGGACAGCGAGAAGACACGAATCGTCGCGAAAAAGTGAGTCAAAATTTTTAACAATGGCTTCAAATGGAAGTTATGAGCGAAAGGGTAGCGATTCGGAAGAAGGGATTAGCGAAGAAGTCGATAAAGTCAGTGAAGAGGCGGTGAATATGGCTGAAGAGACCCAACCATTAGGACTCGAGAGAGCGGAAGATGAAGAGATTGTCCGCCAAATTAGTGAAACGGCTAAACGAAACGTATTTCGTAGAGAATTGTTGAGAGAAATGACGGAAAGAGAGAAACGAAAGGAAGAATTGGACATCAAATTGAGGGAAGTCTTAGCGGAAGCGGAAGAATTAGAAGTCGCTATCCGTAAGATTCAGCTAAAGGCAGACAACAGATCCAGAACTAAAGTAGCGCCGGAATCGCGCGTTGAGGACAACTCAATGGCTATAACACCAACACATGTAAGTGAGAACTCAGACTCAGTTAAAGATCTACCAATAAGTCCAGAGCAAAAAGAATATTTCGCTACATTGACCGCAACGTTAAAAAGTCTGACGCTTAATGACAATCACGCGCGCCTTTACCAAAAGCAGCCATTGTTTTATGGCAAAGACACCAGAAGAATGAACACAAAACATGGCGTTCAGGGCAATGATAAGCTGTCGTTACCCATGAGATGTTATAGATGCGGACAGACGGGCCATGTCTTGAGAGAGTGCCCCGAATTAAGACGAAATGATAGCGAGAATCGGTGCACAATTTGCCGCCGATTTGGGCACATAGCGAGCCAATGCAGATCCAGGCCAGCCAATGAAGCGCCTCCAATACCGCTTCCACCGCCGGCACCGCCAGACCAAAGAGCCTTAACTGAGGACAACTTTATCAATGAACGCATTCTTAGCTATTGTGAGCCGTTATGCGTCAACACAATACATGATAGTGAGACGACTGACACCTGTCGTGACGAAAGCGCTATCATTGAAAAGGCTGTGAAACGACACGAAACGACACCAAATGTGTCCACACTTTTGCACCCGAAGTCTCTGCAGTTTATCAGCGAATGTTGCGAAGAGTCGTTGCGTCCGTTGGAAGCGATCGCCGCCAATAAGGCTAACGATAAGACGGAAGCGGCGGAAGAGAGCGGACGCCAGGAATTGAGTTATTCCTTCATCGAAGCAAAAGGAAACGACAAAATAATCGCTAGAATCGATGGAGAAGTGACACATCAGGCCTATGAGAGACGAGTGGAATCAAGAGACGAGTCAATAAATGACTTAAGCGAAGAGACCAATGAACCGGATAACAAAGACAGTAAACCAAAGCGTTTGTCAAGCGATTCAATGGACTCTAAGCTCGACTACACGGCAGTAGTGGCACAACTAGCGAGAGATGTGAGGCGAGGAGCAGGATTTGGACAGGAGGTCCAGACACGCGTCCGTCGACTCGACTAAAACAGATGAGAATTTTCGCGAATTATTTTTTAACATTTATATTTACATTATATAATCACATATTTAGCTTTATTTTACATTATATGTATTGCTTAATGGGTTGCGCTATTCGTTTGGTCTGACTGAGACTTAGCTTTATTTCACTATTTGTTTAGTATTATATAACTTTTCGATTAGTTTTCCTATTTGTTTGCGCTATTATTTTCGTTTATATTACACTTCGCTTTACATTACGCTTAGCTTTTTATTAAATAATTGAATTATGTAAACAATATTTATAGCTGAATAGAAGTTATTTTTTTTATAAAAAGTGAAGTGAAAGGTAGCTATGATTTGGATTGAATTTAATTTAAATTGAAATAAGAGTAGAGTTATGGGAAACAGAGAGAAAAGTTTAGTTTGAGAATTGAATTTGAGAAGGATTGCGGCACTTTTCGCTTTAATAATTTAAATGATGAATGTATGTTTTTTTAAAGTATTGGGGCACTTATCGCTCTCAGGACTTTTTGTATAGCGTAATATGAGAAGTATTGAGGCACTTATCGCTCTCAGGACTTTGTTTATTGTATTTTTTAAAAAGTATTGAGGCACTTATCGCTCTCAGGACTTTATTTAGCTTAATTTGAAAAGTATTGAGGCACTTATCGCTCTCAGGACTTTGAATAATGTGATTTTTTTAGAAGTATTGAGGCACTTATCGCTCTCAGGACTTTAAATAATTAATGTAATTTTTTTAAAAGTATTGAGGCACTTATGATACTCAGGACTTTGATTAATGTAATTTGTTTAAAAGTATTGAGGCACTTAGCTCTCAGGACTTTAATTAGCTTAAAATAATTATATTAGAGGTGTTGACAATAGAGTCAAGACTTTGATTAACAGAATGAATATTTGAAACTTCTATTTTATAAGTATTGTATCATTAATAGCGTAACTTTAATTGTGTACACAATCGCTCGACACCTGTCTCCCAAATAAGTTGTCATATCTTGACTGACATTAAACGCGTGATGAGAGGAAGAAGCGATTGATAACACAACGACTCGTGTTTTAAAATTGATACTAATATAGCGTAAACCATAGACCGACAGCCCATTTATGTTAACCACTTATAAACTTTTATTTTGCAATTTTTATAATGTTTTCTATACACTTATGTTATTTTAGCTTAAATTTACATATATTTTATATAACTATGAGCTATTTTTTTTATCATGTTTAATCTTATTAGTATTATGCTATATCTGAATTGCTTAATGTAATATTAATTCAGATCGTAATCATTATCGCTTGTAGACTGTAGTTAATACTCATAGCCTTAGCTCACATTCAAACACATTATAGCTTTTAGTAGTGAGTGAACACTCGACGAGTGAGCGTTACATCAAATACTGTTTCGTGCGTTCAGTTGTAATCAAGCGCTCAATTCATAACCACTTCAGTCATGGGCCCCACTCCTGAAGGCGTGGATCACATAACATGTGGAAGAGCTGCTGGAAGAGCGCGACTGCGATCCTCGACATCGCCATTGGTTGGTCGCGAAGACGTCGCCCGAGTTGTGGCGCCAAATGCCGATCAGTTGCTGTCTTATGGCGACGAAGACGTGAATCAGAGCTCATCCAACGTCTCGGCCGCGACGGCCGGACCCGCTATCACCACAACCGACGACAACAACACTGCGCCGAGATTCGCGACTCAAGTGCTCATAGACTTGACCACAGACGGCGGAAACGTTGCGAACGCGACCGTTGTGGCCAACGATGAGGTGATTGTCACCAATAGTGACATTAATCGCACCGCAAATCCAATGGCATCTCTACGCGAGCCGGCGCTCACTCGCGACGTGTCCGTTAACACGGATCCGGCGGTCATCTCATGCCCACAGTGTGCGAGCGCTGCGCAAACCGACACCCGTTCGGCCACTCGCGAGAGCCCGGAGTTGGCGGAGAAGCTCAAAATGGCCGAAGAGATGGTCGCGAGTCTTAAACGCGACAACGAGATCGATGAGAAACAACGTCAGGAAGAGGTCCGTCAAAATGATGCCCTCATTTGCGAGAACTCGACTCTGAAGGCAGACTTGGCCCGACTTCGGGAACAGAGGGCGCGACACTTGGCGTATCCCACGTACGGAATTCAAGGCCCACTTCGCTGTCAACTCAAAGCGCACGAGAGGTTGCGGTCAGAGCTACACGACGTCACTGACCAACGGAACCGTCTGAGCCGACAACTGAATGTCCAGAAACAGGTCACAGAGAAGACAATTCAGGAGCGCATAGCCGTGGAACAGGAATCGGCGACAATGACCCGTAACTACGGCTTCACGAGCCAAGAGGACGACAATCTGCCGATTGTTTACCTCAATCCGGTGGCCAATAACGTGGACAGGGGTTCGCCTTACGAGCTCTACATTAGAGGCCTACCCGTGCGCGACCACATACAACCGCTCCGCGACGTAAGGCCCGACACCTGGACCTATAAGATGGCCGACGAAGTGGCCAAACACCTCGTGGGGTATGACTTGTCGCAGGTTAACTCATATTTGGCGTTACTCTTCCCGCTTAACGGTGTCCTCACGTTTCTGGAGGCGAAGACCGGAAAAGAGTATAACTTCACCGCATCTGAGCTCACAATAACGCGCCCGACGACTATCACAGTCATCCCTAACAGCTATACCATCGCAACTCACGGGCTATTGA